TGGGGTGGGGATAGTATTTGGGCATGACTCCTGGGCAGCAGAGCTCACACACCAGCAGAAGAGACCACTAGCTTAAAAAGGGTTTAATTTCCTTACATTTCCTTCCTGAGTTACCCTTTCCCCGCACAATGATGCTACAGAGACAAAAGCGTGTTTTGCTGCAGCTGTGTGTTTCTTGTGGGAAGGGTTTGCTGCAAGGATGGGAGGGTGTGCGCCTGTCTGCATTTGCGGTGGGGAGATGTACGTACGTGGGGAAGAATGTTGTGAGCATGGAGGGGGGCAGAGGAGGGAAGTGGGGAGGCAGGTGTGGGAGCAGAGTCAGAAGCACTGGGTGGTGGGTGCTGGAGAGGGAATAGGCTACTGTGGCTGGAGAAGTAGCTCAAAGCATGGGTGTGGGTACCAGGAAGACCAGACCCCATGTGTGATGGTGTGGGTAGAATTGGGGGAAATCCTCTTCCAGGGTGGTGGTATGGGGCAGAAGACAACACTGGCTGCAGCAGTGGAGGAGGTGGAGGACATTGCCGGCCTGCATGGATGCCATCAGTGTGTATGACTACATGAGGGAGGCAGCCTGGGGGTGTGTATGCATTTCCTGCACCAAGTGAAACCTTGGAAGATCTTAAGCAAGGAAGGAGTAGGGGGAAGACATGGGGGTGTGGAGTAAGATGCTTCAGTGTGCAAAAGGATCATGCCACTAAAGGGAAGGCATATGTAAGCCACCCAAAGGGCTCTCTGGAAGGTTTCCAATAAAAGCATGAGCAGACAACTGTTAAAAAATAGCATAACATTTCAACAGTACAAGAATACAATCCATTAAAATATAAAATCTGATATTCATGATGGAAGATCTCAGGGAGCAAACAGCAAACAGTAAACAGAGAGGAGGAAAGGGACAAGGATGCATTTGCAGTAAAGTAAAAAGTAAAGTACATATCCAATTTCTAGACCTCAGAAAAGGGGGGCCAGCATTCCTCCGAAGATTTGCAGGGGTGCTGCTATGCCACCCCTTTGTGCACACACACCCAGAGTGGATCAGGCACAAGAGAGTATTGAATGTTACTGTGAGAAGGTAGTGAGGTTCTAAGGTTAATAGTGAAAAGAATGAGCCCTGAATAATGCCTTGCTAGTTTTACTCTTCTGTTATATTCATGAACTCTGTCTTTTCATTACACCTGGTAACCCATTTTAATTTAATGTTTAATTGAATTTTAAGGCTGCCTTGAGCCCTCCCACCTTCATCCCTCAGAGGTCTCTGGTTCAGCTTAAAGCAATAAGGAACAGTGGATTAAAAGAGCAGACTCTTGCATACCATAGTTCAGTAAGTGCAATTTTGGACATAGGTGGTCCATTACTGAAAAGAAACATTTAATAACTTTGTTGGCCTCATTTACTTGGTTTTTAGTAAGAAATGACTGCAGTGCAGAAGCCTGCACACTTATTTGCCCAAACCAGAATTCTCTTGTGAGATTCTCTTCTAAGGGCTCCCTTTTCTAAACTCTATCTTCGCTTTTACAATTACTCTGTTTCTGAAAGAGCAGCCTAGAGGATGGATGAAAACTATAGCAAGTAAAACAGATTGGACAGAAGACTATTTGCAACAGTCCAGTTTCTTTTTAAATGTTTCAGGCCATCTGCAGAGCATCTGCATAAAACTTACTAGGACCTGATCTTAGCCATACCTTAGTCTTATCTACGTCTTTGTAAGAAGCTTAACTGAAACTAGTGCAGGGGCCAGTTATGTGGCTCCCAGCCTATTCTAACTGCTGCCACTATTTCTGCTCTCACCAAGAATTTTGAAATTCCAGTGATTTTGCTGAAGGAGGGAGGTTGCTTGGACAGCACATATTTTGCTGCCCGGAAGACACAAGCTGCCCCCTGCCCACCAAACAGTAAATCAGGTAGAAACCTGATTATTTTGGGGGAAAGGGTGAATATTCCCTACCTGTTCCTAACAGAATCACTGTTTCTGTAGAGAAAAAGTGTGCAAGGGATGGCTCTCCCTTGTGTCTGTCTTAGCTGATTGATTCATTGCCTGGAGTCTTAGACTGCTGGGAATAAGATACACCTTCCATGTGCACCACATTTTTCAGCAGAATCACTGGGATTTCATTGCAACTTGCCTCTTTTGCTAATGGTGGGATAGGGATGTGACTTCTTCAGGGTACCAGCTGGGTGAGTGAGGTCCTCCAGGCCCTGTATGTTGCCCACCCTTTAGGTGCAGGTTACTGTTTCAAATGAGACTTACAATTTTGTTCCATAAGATGCTGCAGAAAACAGTTGCATTTTAACAGAATTACAATTGCATTTCAACAGAATTACAATTGCATTTTAACAGAATCACAGCCCCGCTCGCTCTGTCTCTCTCTCTCTCTCTCTCTCTCTCTCTCTCTCTCTCTCTCTCTCT